AAAATTACTCAGACTTCATGGGAAAGATACAACAAAACACAAATTTCATATATAAAAGAAAGTTCATACAATACCAATAAACAAAAAACACTTATTTGAAACTCTTTCTCAAAGCAAATCTCTTGTAGTCTCTCCTAAGAAATGTAGGAAGAAAAATCTCTCACTTTTCTCCTTTTCCAACACTCTTAGAGAAGAATTCACTCTTAATCTCATCACTAAAACTCTAAACTCTTAAAGAAAACTCACTAATATACTCTAAAATGGTGGTGGAATGAAGATGAAAATGAGAATGACGCTAAAGGAATGAATTAGAATGGAGAGAAACTAAGAGAGAGTCCAAGAGTGCCCTTTTTCTGATGAATTTCGGCCCTTAATAGAGCCTAAAGTCAGTTCTCCAATAGTTGCGTCCAAAACTCTTCAAAAAAGCGTCCAGATTCGTTAAATCTTCTAGAAACAGGGTCTGCACAGTCATAAGCGTCATCTATTTGGAGTAGCCAATGATTTTCTATAACACTATATCAGGATAGAGAATTAAAGTTGTTCCTATTTGGGACAATACATATTAAAATCATTTATCTCATCTTATTTTACCAAAATCTCATTGTAGTAGGAAAGATGTTTTTTTCACATAAGAAATTTTCATCACATAAACATAATTTAGTAGTTACTGTTTAAACTTTGCATTTTAATTTTGCTAGAAGTTAAATAATTTAGTTTTGTTAGTATCATACACATTCAAAATTAGTGACAGTAATTTCGTTTGATTTATGTGAATTTCCTAGCTAAATTTATCACTTCAAATTTAAATCTTCCCGTGGGATCGATATTTGGAGCTTAAATAGAAAGTTCTTTATTACTTGATAACGATATGTATACTTGCGTAGAATCCCAACATTATTTGCTTAAATTTCTTAATCATAAATATTGCATCAAGTTTTTGTCGTCATTGCATAGTAGAGTCAAACTTATATAACTTTTGCAGAACTATATTTTCTCGAGATCATTTACTCAATACTTTTTGTGAAGCTTATCGCTGGTGAGTATGGATTTTGTAGCATTAGGCGAGTCAATTACTTGGATGTTGAAGATCAGTTCTGTCCTGACATCGATCGGTCATCTTGCATCATTGTCAGTCGTCTAAGAGATTTTTCATCGATCGATGGTCTGCGCATTAATGAATCCTTTTTATATTGCTTGAATTTCATTTACATTCACATATTTTTGGTAGCTTGATCAGATCTTCATTTGGGCTAGATTACCCCTCATACTAGCACGAAGCTTGTTGTGGCTTCCATTGAGGTGTCCACTGAGACTTATTTATGGGGCAATTCACTTACTAT